GCTGCTAATATAAAAAATAGCAGCTGCTTACTTTTAGAATCTTCCCATGGAACATGACTGCTTTATCATAATTTTCTTTTTATAATAATCCATTCAATACCTTAACTGGCAATAATATATAAAAAATGTCTATACATTAAAATAAAGTAGATTTTGGTTTCCTATGTGTGATTTATACTAAGAATTCATTATTCTATGCAAAAAAAAAAAAAAACAAGAATTTCACGGTAGTTTAACAAGGACTCAACTATGTATAGACTTGCAGTAATATGAAAAATTCACAAAAATTCATGCTGAGCCTGTGATAACGATAAAGCTGGATTAATCGTCGTCCGTATCGGCGCACAGATGTAAATATTGGCGATCGATGCACACGTTGAGACCGTATCGGATAGACATTGTAAGCGATCGGCGATGTCATACGGTAGTACGTACCGCGGTATCGGTAAAATATGTATGTCGCTAACTAATCTACGTTTTGATCGCGAATTTGTTTCTATTCCACGATAGGCACCACCTGTCGTGTATACGTACACGCCGCGGACAAACGGTTTTACTATGCAAAGAGTGGAGCACGATGAATTATTGTTTCATTAATACGACACGCTGGTAACGGTGGTATAACGCCTAGAACGTGATGCAAGTTATTGTGAACGAACACGTTAATATTAAAGTGAACGGTTGTTGCATTTTTCACCGTGTGACAAACGTTTTTTGTTTGTTTTTGCATCTGCCAGCTATGTGCGTTCCACTTTTCAGACGATAAATCGCGCAATCCGATATTGTGACAAAGTCTGTTGCGGAAATTTCTACGTACGACAAAACTTGAAGGGGTTTGGAATATTGGTGGTATACATATTAAGTGATTAAAATATACAAGCACAAGTTTATTTATTAAATAACAAGTTATATTACGTCTGAGGTCTATCTCTTAGCACGGTCGTGCACAAAGTGTCGTCCAAACAAAAACGACTCTTAAAACTACGAAAAATTCCCTGAATGTGGATGCTAAGAAAACTATCTTCCATCCTTGAAAACGAAGAGGAAAATGTCTAGGAAACAGATGCCTCACGCTTTCACTCTTTGTCTCAAGGACCGTACAAACTTACACAAACAAGGCTATCGCCACAGGGGTAAATTCTGATAAAATAAAATGTCAGTGTTACTGAAGTGATCGAAATAGGACTTTACGAGAATCGATTTCTTATCCTTATATAAGAAGACTTTCGGATCTTCAGGTATCTTTTTGGTAAGATGATAGTTCAATCTGTCGTGCTCTGATCATGGTTTAATCAGAATATACTGAACATTACAGAATTGAATAGATTAAAAAAACCGTAATTACAATGCTTTGTTTTAAGCAATTCCAGAAAAAAAACAGGAAACGATTTAACTCTTTCCACTGGGGTACCTGATGACTCAAAGATCTTCTTTCATAAAGATGAAAAGTGCCGTTCCTTAACTCCACACTTTGCACTGTTTTTGTAAAGCAAAAAAAGTCCAGAAATTTACCGACTAATGTTAGAAAAGTCAGATTTGTATCACTTTGAATTCTTATCAAAAATTGAGAGAAATCGAAAACTTACCCTGCAAGGTGGCGATACCTACTAATATCACATGTTGCACCACCTATATCTGATTCGAGCAAGCTTCATAAGGGTGAGAAAAAAGAAGCTTGCCTTCAAATTGATTCTGTTTTCTAGTGTAATTAACTTCCTTAGTTAAAGAAGTTATTCTATAATGTCGTTATTAATTTGTAAATACATAAATGGCAGTGCATTTTCAATTATAGGATAATTCCAGCACGTTTAGTCAGGTCTGGTCTTCAGTATCGCATTTAAACAATAGAAGATCGTAAATTCAACAAAATGACACGTTCACATGACACTTGAGAGATAGAATCACGAGAAGGGTAACTGCAAAATCGAAGGGAATTCTTATTATGTCTTTTTTTTAGCGAAATTCTGAAAAATTACTCGAGTGATCGAAAATGTCGGCGAAAACGGCGAAAGCCTCGGCGCCCGCATCACCTCCTTCCGCTAAGGAAGTGGCCAGTCTACAGGTTTCGTTGCCGCAAATGTTGGACCTCGCTTTGGGTACCCCAGAAGTAAAAATCTTGTTTCGTTCTGTTCTGTCATTTTCCCATTGACATGAGACATAAGAAATACTTTAACGACAGGTACATCGTTTTATATTCGCGTCTAGGTTGGAGCAGTGAATTTCAATATTCTCCACAACTTCCTTCACATTTTGCTACATCAGATAAGTTTGCAATCGACCAAAGTCGAGTATCGAGGTGAGGATGCTAATCGTATCAAGGTAAAACAGTACATTCCTCCATTGCAAATGATTTTATTTAATCCACGCCTGCGCGAGCTTAGTTCATCCGTATTGACGGGAGAAATTCATAAAATCAAATTCTATAACGAGCTTGCGATGTAGCTCACGCACGTAAATAAAAAATAGCAATATTCAACAATTTTATATTTGTAGACGTTAGTTAGCTCGCTAAAAGCAGGGCCGACGCTTTATCTCCAAGAGTACAATATCATCGGCGAATCCGGAAACGTACAAGAAAGTGTTCGCCCTGGCGATACCATGAACATTCAAGTGGATGTGGTAATTGAAGGTAAAAAGTGAATTTTTAATACCATGACTCACTTTAACATCTTCAACAAAATTTTATTGTAAATGCTCCAATGCAAGATCAACAAGATTTAAATTTCTCAAACGATTAAATATTTCATTATAATTAAATGAAACGCTTGATAAATTAGACAAACCTGAATCGTCCGCGGATTTGAAAAGGACTAAGGGTACCAGGCAAAAGATTGGTTCTGGCGCGGAAGGCGAAAGCGAAACTGTTATATTCGTTGAACCGATCGTCGATGGCGTAGCTCCCACTGCACTAGGGTTTAAACGACTCGAGCAAACTGTAATCACAATGAGCTTGAACATTTACATATGATTAACAACTTATGTTCAGTGCTTGTCAAAGTTCATCGAGAATCAGACTAATTCATAAGCTAATACGTTGCACAGGTAAATGAACTTCAACAACGGTTTCAAGCGCTGGAAGAGTTAGCCACAACCCCTGAACTTATCGAACGACTGAAGGGTAAGATCACTGACCCCGTAACCGATGTCTGGCAAGTTATCAACATCACCAAAAGACTGGACGCTAGTGAACAAGGTATTGATAAGGTATAACTTGATTACTGTGACTGTTATTTAATCTGACAATGGAAATATCGATCGCTCAATGAAATTTTTTACTCACTATGCAATTTTTAATTTATACGATACATTTTTCTTTATGGAAATCATGAAATATGCAGAATGTCTCAACTAAATGTATAGGACAAAACTATAGGAATTCATTAAAAAACTGTCGATGATTTTGAAACATCGTTAAATAATTATATTTAAAAAAAAAGCTTTTTTTAATAAGCCATGAATCATTTTTATCTACTTTCATCTTAAAACAATGCAATATTACCTTAGTAAATTTTCTTATACAGGTGAAAATAATGGAAATGTTAAAGTGATCCCATTTAGCTGAAAGATTCTGTAAGCTGAAAGATTTTGTAGATATACTAAACATAGTTGGAATTAAATTTTCTTAACTTATCTCACTTCGAATAAAATTAAAAGGATGAAAGCGTAAAATAAAACTGATTTACAGCTAACGAAAATGGTGCAAGACGTGATCAAGGGCGACGCAACGCTCCCAGTGGGTGACGACATGTCGTCGCCGCTCGACGAAAGATTAGTGAATTTAGAGAACGCTGTAGACAATTTGGATCAGGTTGTTAAGAATTTACAAATAATCGCGGGCGAGGCGGAGGGTCTGGAAGGCGAGCGTACAGAAGGTACAGAAGAAGGAAGAGCCGAGGATGCCCCGGAACACACGCAAAAAAGAATTTCCTTAACTCAGCTCTTGGGGGGAATAGACATAAAGCAAATGCAGAATGACGTGACTACCTTGAAAGTGGACGTCTCACGAATGAAAGATGAAATGAAGCAAGTACAAGGGAAAATTGCGAAAACGAAGACTGGTAATAACTTATTAAAGGGGGTGACTCTGCGTTTAAAAACGAACAACCGAAAAAAAGGAATTCACATTCTTCCGTTTGTGGCTCCGGTTTCAAGAAAATTTCGTTCAGAAATCCTGGCAAGAGCGCGTACATCAAATTATGTCCTTAAGGTTCAAATGTGTAGTAATAGATAAGTAGTTATTATCACAGTTCGACTGATAGAGAAAATTAATGTCGAGGCAACAATAGCATAAAATAATTTAATACAAACGTTATTATTGTATAAGGATTATGATTTATACATTTATAACGACTGAAGACAAACCGTAATGCGCAGGGTATTGAATACGGAAGTGTAAGCGAAAGAAAATGTTTGCAACGGATAAATAATTAGTAGTCCAATATACGCGAACTTGACAGAATTTTTAAACACGATTTTTCGAAACCGGAGCCTCAAGTGAAAAAATGTTACTCCTATTTTCTTAAACTAGTTTCAACTCCCGCTCGGTTATATCGTCTGGATACACCCCGTATAACACCATAATAAACACTTTAATTCAGAGCTTGCTCAAAAAGTGGAGTCAATGGTAGAAGTACAAAAGGAGCAAAAGAAGGAGCAAAAGGAGCAAAAGGAGCAAAAGAAGGAGGAGAAGGAGGAAAAGAAGGAGCAAAAGAAGGAGCAAAAGAAAGAGCCAGAACCGGCAGAAACGGACGATGAAGAGCCGAAAGTCGATGAAACAAAAGAAGATGTAACAATGCCTAGGAAAGGAACAGTGAAAGAGAAGGTGGAAAGTCCGAAGTCACCTACGGAAAAGATAGATATAGATATAAGTATAGATTCGGAGGACCTGGATTCGATTAGAGGACGAATTTCGAAGCTGGAGAAGGATGTATCATGCTTGTTCGAGAAAGTAGAAAGCGCACCGATGGCCGGTGTTGCGGGCACCGCCGATATTGAGGATTTGGTTGCAAAGATTCACGAGATCCAGACCGAAATGGAGAAACTGAATCAAACAGCTGATCGTTTGATCGATGATCGTGAAAACCGTGAGATGCATCTTAATGTTAGTACAATTTGTCAACAGAATGATTTACGGTTGATTAGAATTCTTAGCTGCGTATTATTTAATTCTGCTATCTTTCAGGCATTATTAGAACAAGTAGAGCTTCTGAAGACCCTGAAAGCCGACAGGGAAGATCTTGAGGATGCGCTTGCTGAGAAAGCTGATGCACATGCGATAAATAGAAAGGTTCAAAGATTATCACCCATCGGCGATATAACTAACTTAGATTACAAGGATTGCAAATCTTTATTGGAAATTGATTCGTTAGGTTTCATATGATCAATTCGACGCAGCGTGTGACGATCTAGCTCAAGGCCTTGAGGACGCGATCGGTAAGCTTGGGCAACAGGAAGCGATATGGCAGCAGGCGTTAGATGAAGTACAGAAGGAAATCGAGGGCAAGGTTGACAAAATGGAAATGTCGCCGCTGAAAGATTTCGTGAACCATCGACTGAAGTCACTACAGGAGAAACTGAAGGCGATTTCTGAAGCTAGACAAGAACTTGAAGCAGCTGGTACCAAGAAACTGCTTAGGTATCGTAACTACTTAGAAATCATGTTAATTCGCATAAGCGAATTTCATTCTATTTTTGTGAGTGGATATGGATAATAATACTTATTTGTTATTTGATTGAATTCACCGCATTTAGAGATGTTCAATGCATATCATGCGACAAAGACGTCGTCATGCGAATGGACCCCGACCGTAGATTTAAAGTAGATGGATTCCCTTGCTCCCTGAGTATGAAGCCATATCTAACATATGAATTGGATCAAGTTAGGAAGCAACGCAAAAGATTACCGCATAGTAGAAATATGATTCAATTTGAGGCAGCTATGCAAGAGGAGACGAAGAAGCAAAGGAGCGCACGAGACCCGCTTGATAAGACTCCTAGGTGCATAGCTAAGTCCGGTGAAGTTATATAAAAAGATTCCTTTCACATGTTATTACCATTTTGTGTTTCTGCAATAATATTTATATCTTTCAAAGCAGATAGAGCAGATTATAGATCGTATTTCACCATTTCTAATAATTCTCATTAAAGAAAAGTTTTTTACATTCAACGTACATTCCTTTAACTATCAGGGATCACCTGTGCAATCGATATTGCGGTGGCAGTCATACGGTCACGACTCCTCAGCAGAGAGTAATGCGAGTAGGCCATTTCCTCACGCAGTGGGGACCGGAGATAGTTCAACTGACGGAAGGGATGATAAAAGGAACGGATGGCAAGATGTACAAGGGTCGACGAATGTTGAATAAAATTGACGTTTGCGGCCCGTCTTACTGTAGTGATCACGGTGACGAAATTCGATCAATGGTAATTATCGATTATCTACGCTTCTTTGTTTCTTAACTGATCAGGGCAATACGTCTTAGGATCGACCATCGATCACTGCTACTGTATCATCTCGTAAATCTTCTGAGAGACAAACTTCCAGCACCGCAAGTACGTTTAACAGATTATCTGATTCCTTCTAATGTACTGAAATAACTTATAAAGTGTCAAAATAATGTTATTGATATCAAATTTGAACAGGAAAACGGCCAACAAGAAGACGCTCTCGAGAAATAAGCAAAGAAGTAATCGAAGAGGTAAGAAGATTCAAAGGCAGGGGTATAAATAAATGAAATAATGTTAAAAATTTTGTTTTCTTGCAAATAGGTTTCGGAAGCGCCTGTCGAAGAAACAGATCAAGAATCTGATGCGCCAACCGATACGGTTGAACCTCCAGGACATATGCCTCGGTACATCGACGAGGAGGAAATGGGAGAGCAAGATTAATCGAAACTACTATTAATTACTGTAAATTTAATCAAATGTTTTGTATGAACACTAAACTCTTATAGACTGTAATACCAATTATAATAGAGCAAAGGATAATAATATAAAAAATATTTGAAAAGAATTCACGAATTCCTATCAAGCATCAACTGCAAATAATAATTAATCATAAGCAAAATCTGCAAAATAATCTATAAAATAGTATGCATAGTATAATCTTTGTTTTATTATATTAAATACTTAGATCCTTATTGTATGAAATAGTATTTCATAGAGGAGTCAGGGACGAATAGGACGTTCGTTGTTTTATTAAATGTTTTATTATTAAGATGGAGTTTCGGAGTACACAAGACTATCTAGTAAAGTCGATTTGGAACATCGGTGGGGTCTGTCATGCTAAAACGAAAAAAAAAGAGAGACCGAATCACATCCACGCATTGTGTACGACCGCACTAGGTCGCTATTCGTTTTCTTTCTTTTTTATTATTGCACATCACACTGCTCGAAAACCGTTTACGTTTAACGAGTGTATACACAGCGCATCCAGTTGCGTCTATACATCATCGGAGCTCGTTTCCCATTCTTCAGTTTCGATTAACTTCCGATCGTCCTATAAACGGCTATGCACTAGTGTTTCTGGTAATAGTAATAGAATATTTACGTATGTACGTATAGAAGAGTATACGTCAAGCTAAATACTACTTCATATATCAAATTTCAAGGTACAGGAAGTATCTACAAGTTTTAGTGTCTACCACAATAATTTACGACTGCTTTGTTCTTGCGTTAGTTTCAAGTTTTTTTTGTCTCGTTCTGGTGAATGGCGTTTTTTTTTTAATTCTACGTTCGCTAATATACCTAATATAATAAGATTACCATGAATTACCTCGCTATAATCTTACGATTAAATCAACGGTATACACGGGACTATGACATGAACATGTCATTGGCATATAACGACACAATGCAATAAATAGAATGGCAAACAAATGTACGTACAGATAGATTATACTTCGTTTTTTTTTTCATTTTCTCATAATCATCCGTTAAGGGTGTACGAGGTGAGGTGGGAGGGGGACAATATAATGTCTTAAGCGTTAACATGGATATGCATTATCGATTATAGTTAATAATACTGGCAGCTTAAAGTACAACGAGTACGCAATTACACTCAACATAATCAAAAGAGAATGGGTCTGCTGATAAAATAAAAAATTCTTTCATATTATACATTAGGCTCACATCTATACATGATATATAAAAAGAAAACTGTTTACATTTCACTTTGGTAACAAAAATAACAAAATGGGATATTCTAATAGAATATAAATATAAATATAATAGACACGACGCAGGAACAGGAATATCAGTTTTTGAAAGAAGCATAAACTAAGACTAGTATCACGTTCACTCGTGATTTCATTAGAAATCCTTAGAGCATGTACTACTGGAGGTAGCTTCCATGTGTGTCGAAAACGTAGATAGAGCTGTAAAAAGAGAGAGATACAGTTTATCTATGTACATGCCATCCTTTTTTCGCAGCACAGGACTGGCCACGATGTTTCTCTTCCAAATTGCTTCTTTCAAATTGCTTACTAACAAATGAGAGTATGATGAGTATTCCAGCCAATACCGTGCTGCAAGAGAGATAGCATAATTTAACCCTTTCGCTTCGAGCGCCTATATCCGGCATCCGCGCGACGACCTGTACGTACGAACGCCGGATATATCCGGCATCCACACGGTCATCCACGGAAACTCCGTTCGGTGATGGCACTTTAGCGGACTGAACTGCCGACGCGAAATGGTTAAACATTTCTATCCCGTATAAATCTTTAACACTTGAGAAGCTACCATCAGTAGCGTAGGCTCCACAGTCAAAATCAATTAACTGGAACAAAACTATAACTTTTGACAGGCGAAATAAATTCTAAAAAAAATATTTTAAACTCTATCCGCTTTAACATTATGGCACTTGCCTACGTATGACGTGGATTCTAGATAATTAATCGATGATAAGTTAAACACAGGACTCGGCGTCCAACAAAAAATTCGCTTCACAACCGTCACGAATTAAAATCCTTATCAAGAAACTAATTATTATTGTAACACCACGGACGTCTTCTCGAGTCGCGCCTTAATTACGCGTCGTTGCTGCATTTATACTGAAAATTACAATCATTACCCACTTAATTTACCGTTATCGTTAATCGTTATTATCTATTATCGCTATTATCGTTACCGTTACGTAATTATTATCGTTTAATCATAATCGTACGAGGATATTGCACGCAGCGACCAACGGATAATGGGAACTAAGTAACAGATCACAGGTGAAACTAGGCTATCTCTGTAACAAATTCGTATCACATGAAAAAATATGTATCGGTTACGTTACCTCCTCTCGCAAAAATCTCCCAAAAATAAGAGACTGTCGGACGGATGACTCGAGTGACGAGCCATCGATGGTTCGGATTGGCTGACCTCGATCGTCTTTATTCTTCACTCGCACTTGCCCTCTTTTCCTATCCTTTCACTCTTTATTCTCTCCCCGACTGGTCAGCCCGGACGAAAAATCATCGTTACCAACTTCATCGATATCGATCCTCTTTACTTTCTCATCGTTTTCGGTTCGCAGTAACGCAAAGTGACCGTCAATTAATTTTTTTACCGACAACGAGCTTAATTGCTTATCAACAACGACGAACAACTAAATCCTGACTAAATGATTACATGATTAGCATTTAAACTTTGGCATTTACAACGGCGACTCTGTGGACTCGCGTTCTATACTTCGTATCGTCATCTATTCTTCTTTCACTTCGCGCGAACGTAAAATGCGACTCAGCTCTTTCCTTTGGCTTCCAGCTCCTTCACGCGGAGGCCACGTCGGTCGGCCAGCCGCGCATCTAAATCTAAGTACCTTCTCGTTAAGATTATCGGCTTGTAGTACGACTCTGATCCCATCGATAGTTTCTTACACGCGAAACTCGCGGCTTCGCGAGCCGCGAGCACAAGGAACAACCATTTTGTAAAGCTGTTACGGTGCTTCCCCGAACACTGTCTTAGTAGCTTGTCTAAGCAGAGTTTTCACTGGCGAATCTTCGGTTACTCGATCGATCAGGATAACCGAACACAACTTCTTTCAATCGTCGCCCAAACCATATTGAAGTTTTCGCCTTCTTTTTTAATAATCAATTTGTTCTCTTCGTCCAGTGAAATTTTAGAATTCACCATTCTAGACCAAAATTTGCAATTCAAGTTAATTTCTTATAGTTACAAACATCGTACACGCGTCTTATGAAATCTCCTGATATCACAAAATCTTCAATAGTTTCTCTTATCCGTCATGTGACACCGCGTAGACGAATCGAGTGCAAGGAATTGACGTTTCGTGAAAATAAAGTGTAGGTTCTAACAGGAGAAATAGATTTGCGCGATGATTTCTTTCTGGTGGTGAAACGTTCATTGAACCTAATTCAATCCTTGAACGTTTCTGTACGCAATTGTTTTTATTTTCTGTTTTAAAGTGTCCGATATAGAACAACGAGTGCTCGTCGCTAACAGTCGGAATTAATAATCGCGTCACGGTTAACGTTTCGCATAGGTCAACTAATTCTTCTCCCCGCGGCTAATAAAGCTCCTACTCGACGCGAGGCAGACGTCGATCGTTTAAACGATTATTTATAACGAACAAGACTAACTTCAAGGTCGCTCGCTAAGTCTACGGAAACAAGCTTCTCTTTTACTGATTAAAAGCTTTGTACTGTATTATTCCCGTGAATAGTTCTCGTCCACCTCATTCGACTCGATCCCATCACTCTCTCGTTTCATCATCTCGGAAGCTCAGAAAATCTCTTCAGTATATTGCACAGTCTCAGATCTGTAACGCGAGACTAGAATGGAAAATTCAATGGAAGTACTAAGTCTAGATTATCCTCTAGAACAATCGTTTCCCATGCTCAACAGTCCTCGCGCATCTTCTCCTTCTGTTTTTCTTATAAAGAACTTACTCTTCAGGTTCGCATTGGTAATTAATTCTCTTTGGTAAAGGGGATATCAAAAAGTAGGAAGCGCCTTAAACGGCGCTACGATAGATGCGCTACAAAAGCTGAGCTATTACTGGATGCAGAAGACACATGTGTTCGGCGCCACGTATCGGGAGACGGTTCACGCTGAAGTGGCGAACCATTTCAGGTATACTGTCGAACGGTTTGCTGAACTGGCCTAGAATGTACGCGTTCAGCTCCTCGTTCTTCTGGATGCGCATATGCATGAAACCGCGAGCGCTTCTGAAAATTAAAACACAATAGTAAGTTTCATAAATTATTTATGTTACGAGTCATGAAACGTATCTAATGTTTAATGATATAGAGATCTATTTTCTCATTCTTATATCAGTATCAATGTTAGAATACATTATATAATGTCATCATGTTATATCAATATTAGAATACATTATATAAAATATAAAAATAATTCTTATTTTCAATACTTTTACAATTATTGAGTTATCCGAAAAGTTCTTACTGATTTTTATAGAAAAGTCAAAGACAGTGTATTTAATTTTTTATATATATTTACTGATTTATTGATTTATGTACGTACTATTTTGTTCCACACTCTTTCTCCGTCTTTCATTCAATTTGAAGACTATCCCGAAAAATTGTGCAAAATACGTGTTTATGCAATTCGACTCTACGTCTTTATTTCTCAGGGAATCAAAACAAAATTCGTTTAAAGTTCATTGCGAGGTGTTCCGATCCTTAGTTTATCCAGAATAATCACTTTTTCGAATGAAATTGCTTAGAATGCAAAATTTAGTAACTATGATTTTGTTTCAGTTTGGAACACTTACTTTATTAATTATTGGTATAATCTCATTGAATAATCACTTTTTCTAATGCTTTCTAATCTAATATTTAAGAAATTTAACTTACTTCAACGACAAGGAATAGTCCTGCTTGGTCGACTCGCTGTTCCTCACCAAATAACTTCCTTCTCTCAGAAGTCGTAGAACAGCTTCCGCCTCGATTCTCGTGATGGATCCATGATACCATCTAGAAGCAGACGAAAGGGGATTCGCCTTTTAGATGCAAAATACTTCTCATCCACTATAAAACCATTCTTTATACAGATATTTCTCCACGTGTTGTTTTCGTTTCTAAATCCGAAAGATTGGAAGTGATTCAAAGATATTGATACAGCAGCGTGTGCGAACAAACATATGAATCAGCATGTTTTCCTAATGTACATCGTCGCACGAAGACAACAAGCGGTAAAAAACGAGGTTGCGCAATCCAAGAGTAACTGGACTGTAGACGTACCCTTGTCTCTCGAGGGGTAGATCCACGTCGACGAGATCGGCAGATCCGCGGGCGGTGCTAATCTCCAGCGGCAATCCGAGGGCGAGGCCGCAAGGTTTTTTCGGTGCTAGCTGACCGAGGTTGCCGACGTTGTTCGTACCGTTTCCACCGTCCAGATTCAGTGTCATCTTCGGACGCGCCAGACCGCCGCCTGCAATGAGTCACGCGACAGTTAGACGCCGCGGAATTCCCCGAGAGGGGTAAACATCGATTATACACACGTACACGATGCGACGCGATGAACCCACCCTGTTCGCCAAGATTTTATGGCACCCCCTCATCCCTTCTTTGTAATTGGAACAAATCGAACTACGCCCTGAGATTCACGACGACGGGAAGCGAGTTCCCTAGCCGATACATTATGCCGCTCGATGTGTGACGATTATCAGAATGGAATCGTTTCATGAGGGTTTACGAATAAAAGGGTTTGTACCTTGGAGCTGACGAGGGGTTTCACGGCACACAAAGTCGTGCTATATTTTTTATATTATCACAGTTGGAGATGGTAATATGATTCTGTGTTAGACAAGTGTTCTAGCCTTTCAAGACGATAAAAAGTCTCGTAATACTTGGCGACTTGGTATTTGTTGTACGATAAAGATTTTTAAACAAATGTTGGCTGATGCAGTACTGTGATTTTTCTCTGATTCTTCGCTTTTCTATCGAGATATGAGGATCACCTTCAGTTTTTTAAATAGAATATCTAATATTTTTTCGTCAAATTATTCAAAGTTATTGTATTACGAGACTCACCCTGTATAATGGATATTTGATTACACGTTCCCTACAATTTGATATTTACAGTTCAGTCTTATACAATACTTTGTCAAGAAAATGACAAGGTTGCACGTTTCGATTATAGTTTCTATAGCACGGAATGCAAGACAGGCAAATTGATAAAGTGTCAAACGACATTAATCTCCGGTTAGTTCTCGTTCGCTCGATTTTTCAACGCGACATAATCGCACCGTCAATAACCCAGGCGCGGGGCTCTCAAAGCAAGGACTCGATAATATCTGACAAGAAATATTTCCTTCGATGTGGAACAATGGGCCATGACTTTGGATGCCAGACTACGTTCAAGGTATGATAATGGAAACGTCTCGTCACTCGCCAACGAATAAATCGTCCGTTTTCAGAAACAATACAATCGGGATTCCTTTCTTGAATTTCTTCCCTCTTCAAGGAGCTTCATCGACTATTAGCGAGATTTCATCCTCCTGCCACTACTTAAGATTTGCCTGGAAATTACGCGCATTATCCGGTAAACAATCTGGCTACAGGAAACAACAAGCCATTTCTTTTCCCTCCAACGACGTTCCAAATGCCGGAGTCTTTATTGAAGTCGTAAAGTACCACGCTTATTAAAGGTTTCGCAACCTCTAGCGAGACTCGAAATTAGACAAGGAGAAAAGAAATTGCGATTACTCTCTTAGCGTTGGGTTGGTGGGCTACCGAAATCTTTGCGGTAGATTAACACTAGATTGCCCAAGGAAGTCATTTTGACTGCTTTTAGGCAAATGTACAAATAATAATGCATAAATTATTTTTTTTTCCAAGTGAAGTAAATTTTTTTTATTGTTAACATTTACTAATAACTTGTTATATGACTGTAAATAATATAAAAAATATTAAAAATTAATTTTAGACAAATTTCTTTACACATTATTCTTTCACAATACAGTCATTTTGACTGCTTTTGGGCAATATAGATATATACTAAGTTTCAGTCTTTCTAGTGTTAATTTGAGAGGTACTAAGAGAGTAAATATTTTGTAAAAAAGAAATACGAGAGGAGTTGAGAAGGATTTCCATAAGAGCGTTTTAAAATTAGGGAAGTTCTTTCAAATATTCATTGCTGGATGATTTTTCTATATGTATAATTTCTGACATATTTGATTCGATTTGTACATATGACAAAGTTTTTTAAGACAATAATAAAACTGACACGAGAGATGGATGAACTAGTAAATACACAATTATTGTCCAGAAACCGATTTTATCTACCTGAACGAAAACATCGCTCACCCTTTATTAAAAATGTATAAATTTCCGTAGGTAAACTCTTCCGGGGGTTTCTAAGCCAATATTATTATACGGCTTGGTGAAAGTTCCGGGGATGATAATCGACGGGTAGATTGTTGCTTAGCGCTTGGCTAAGAAAGTGACTGGGATGGCACGGTGCGCTAGCCGCTAATATAATTTCATTTGTTGGGTGCAATCTCTTAGCGGTCGGCTTTCCAAAGGTCGCATGATCCAGGTAGGACGGAATTGCTCTGACAGGTGTAACACCGCGTTAGCTTCCTCACGATGTTAACGCGTTCCGAACGAATCGAGCGACCGACGCGTCGGTACCCTATACATTATGGATGAGCCATGTGTACTTTGGGATTTAAGGACATTGAATTTCGTCGAGCAATAAAACTCTCAGGTGTCACTTTCGAGAGGCTTTTAACCAAACTGCGTCGCATTTTTCTCCTTCTTATATAATAAGATAAGTATTTGTTGCGTCACAAGTATGTATGAATCGATACTGAGTAAGTGGGTTAGCCAGTTGTATAATATATTGAAGTTTCTATACGAAATTATTCTTAAATATTAGAGAGTGATAAGACTGTCGTTATTTCAGATGCAAGATAAGATCTAAATAACAGATCTGTCAGAACACGACCATCTTTAATTCAAAAGTCGAGATACTTGCTCAGATTGAGTACAGACGATTAATGGGTAATAGAATTGGAAGGAAATAATATATTACAATTTTTATATTAAACTATTCCAGAATATTAAAATTGAATAAGATCGTCGCGACTTCATGTGCAGACCTTCAAGATACAAACCTAACTAAAATCTATTTATAATAGGAAAAGATTGATGGGAAGTAAGTAGATAATAATGTTCCAATACAAAAATCATCAAGATATTCGTTCGTATTGGGTACAGGCGATCGACGGATAAGAGAATTTGAGGAGAACGGCGCTCGGTTCGACTGAATTATTCATCTGACGTGAACCGTTTCCACGCACGCAACGACGAAAGAAACTCGTTCACGAAGAGCAACATCCTTCGGCTCATCTGACGCTGCGTGCGTTTCAAGCATAGTTAAACATTAACGAACAGCGAAGGCAGCCGACCCACTACTCTCCGAGATTGGCCGTATCTGTATTATTAAATTTAATCAGACTGTTCAGACAGCTCGATTTATCTGTTCGAATTTCCCATTTCCAACGAACGAAATTCTAACCGACGCGTTGCCTTTTTCTCTTCTTCTTTTCGCTGGAGAACAATGTGTACAACATCAGTGTGTTCAACAATACATTCACAGTGTGTTCAACAATACATTTATCCTCTGTTAGAAGATCGTGATAAAATTTTCATTTATTTTTATTTATGAATGAAGCGTCAATAATTAAAAAACGATAAGAAGCGAAAGTATAAGAAGTATACAAAAAGTACGATGTCCCATTCTATTATTTGCGGATAATAAACAGTTATAAAAGGAAGAAACCAAACCAACAAACGATGGGCCGTAAATGGCTCGCGCGCCTCCAGTTCGTTTTAAGGTATTTTGAAGAAGTACCAATATTTAATTCTTTGTAACAAATTATAATTGTATTGGAACAATTAAGTTACGAGCAGAGTTCCAGAGTTTCCTTTCAGTTAAATTATAGTAGAGTACGTAGTTGTGCATTAAACACAAAACTCTTGATTTGCGAAATTTCAGTTGTTAATGCCACTGCTAAAATAGACGCAGACACAGCAAATGTTATAATTGCAGGTAGTAGCCCACTTCCAAGAACCCGTCGCGTCCAAATCCAATCGCAGTCGGGCAACATTCAACGACTCGTGCAATCGATCAAAACGAGACCAGGAAATCTATTAGGTTGCTGTACATGAAATGTTCTGTGCTCTGCAGTTCGAATTTACAATCGTTCATCGTGCCTTGTCTGTCTCATGATTTATTGTTGTAAATCAAGATAAAAATTAAATAATCTGATGAATATTAATGAAATTTGTAGTAAAGATACTGCATTAAAATACATTGTGATATTTTTTGCAGTATGATACCTCAAATATATGTTGTCATAAAAGTTAATGAAAACAAATTAAGTAAGAGATAAACTAATTATTTGAAATAGTGAAACTGTAGGTTGGAAAAATTTTTAGGTTCTGGGACTCACAATGGTTAAACTTCAAAGAATCTTTTTTCTTGATATGTTTCGCACGATTTAACTATGATCGTTGAAGAAAGAATTCCAATAACCAGAACTTTGTATTTCCTTCTTCGATCACAATCAGATTATGCAAAAACATTTAACGATATTTAGTCCTGACAATTTTTAGCACAATTATTTAACCATTTAGAAATGTGTAAAAATATACTAAACTATTGTATAAAATATGATCTATAATCTAGCATAAAATAATATCATAAATTATTTGAATTAAACGCAATATTACATTTGCTATTTGTGAACAAAGCATTTTATATACACAGACATTATACTTTGTACACGAGTGCTCATTCTCTTGAGACTTAATCACAATTCTTTTGAAGTAAAGACATAACACGCATGAACGCGCTTGTTCGCTCCTTTGCACGTTTCCTTGCGTACGCACGGGAAATTCTCCTCTTGACATTCGCACGCTTATTTTCTCGTTTCCCGCGTAGACTGTTTTAATATCCGTCTCAGACGGAGATACGTCTCAATCAATTTCTTCGCGGCCGCGCCCCCTCACTCCCCATCCAACCGAGCCGAGTCCGTCCCTCGGGAAATGCGAAGAAAGTCGCGTGAGTTTTGCGAGGCTCCTTCACAGTACAAGTATAAGTGTCGGAGTTGTTATTCGCGTACGCCGCGTGAGTCGCGAACAAACGACCTTGGAAACTTTAAGGATGGTAAATCTTGTATGGAAATGAGAGAAAGAACAATGGAAATTTTCTACACAAATTCTCCTTTGAATATAAACGAGAATATAAATTACGATAACATTGAGATTAATCTGCATGTACTTATCTAAAGAAATATGTATTGCATATAATGTATTGCATTTATTTCTATGGGAATGTTCATATGATAAGTTTCTGTGTAAATTGCTTATCTATTTCATTTAATGTCCTGATGGGCACCAAATATTAAACTGCTTTATTTA